GTGGGTGAGAGCTACTTTTTTTTTTTTTTTTTTTTTTAATTCAGTGATAACCACTGGATACACTGGTTTGGAAAATTAAGCTTTTATAAATTTAAAAAAAACCAACCCACAACCCTGTTAATTTTTGATGTAAGCTTTCTGTTCCAAAGAATTGGATGTATTTTGGGTTTAGAAACCTGTGTTTAAGGTCAAAGAAACAAGGTAGCATGTTGTGGGTGTTGCATCTTTTCCATCATGGGATTTATGTGAGAATTCCTTCTGCACGTGGTGATCGTTTACCATAAGATTCTGATAGTACTATTAACATATTAATGCAGCAGGATCCAAAAGATATAGACTGCTGAAAAAATACATAAGGCTGTCCAATTGTTTTGGCATATGAGCTGCTACTTAAATTTCAGACTGCACTATAAAGCACAACCAGATGAATCTCTACTGAACTTCCAGGGGACCTGGCAGATGTAGTGGGTGTGTAACCTGTTGAGGCTTAAGTCAAGCAGTGCAAAGAAGTTGCTTTTCTTGAGCTGTGTTGTGAGCCATCCGTGTCTATTGAACTACTGGGCAGCCTTCTCAGATTAATAAATTAAGTTACATATAACTTTGTATACAGTCTTTGTTACTGAAAATTTTTCGTAGCTCTGAAGGCAAAAAGTTTGTTAAAAAACAACATCCAAATCGCTTGACTTCTGTCTTAACCTGGACAGAACTCCTTGTAGTCATGTCTCTGCTTTGTTTCGTCCTTGGGGTGTCTGCTCAGAGGTGGGAAAGAGTACAAAGTTAATTCCAAATTGGACCAAGACAAACATTAGTAGAAATTCTCCCTAAATACAAATTTAGCACCAGCTTACAGCCAGGATGTGAATGAAATTGCAAGTACTCTTAACTTACCTTAACCTTTTGAATGTTGCAGCTATAGTGTGTTAAGATATGATGCAGTTAATTAATAAGTTGTGGCATCTGCTAAATCTTGAAATGCAAACTTGAACAAAATACTAAAATAATTTTTACTTCTGACTGTTCAGTTTCTAATGATCTCAACCATACAGATCCAAGAGATCCATTTTAATTCAAATTAAGCCTGTCATAATACTCTTAAAATAAAAATTTCATGCTTCTACCTTTATTTGTTCTAACATATACCTGTCTTACTTCATTCATTGCTTCTCATAGGTTTGATTTTTGACTGTCTCATTAATGCTGTGACTTGCTTGTGACTTTGGTACATCGTTCCCTTTCAAGACAGACTTGTCTTCATATTTAAAAATAATATTTACTGAGTAACTTCTGTTGCCTCAAAATTGGTACCAGTGGATGGGCCTTTTTTTGTGCAATATTCCATCACATTTTTAAAAAATCTCTTTCATGCTGCAGTATTTTTCAGTATGAAAAAGTCTGGTTGTGTGTGTTTTTACTATTTACAGCCCTTTAAAATAGGGAAGGATAGACTCTTAGGACTACTAAAAGACCTGTCTGCAGCTGGGATTGAGCCTGATTTATCTGGCAGCCAGAAGGGTTGAACTGTAGTCTCCAGAGCTAGCAAATCATTCCTTAGGGCTGGCATTGCTTCTTGGATGGACTGTGTTAGACATGTTAGTTGTTTGGAAATCTGCAAAGCAATTATTC